TCAACTGACCACCTTGATTAGCATATAATGGCCTGACTGTGCCTGGAGCAAACTTTTGTTGAGAGGTGATTAGATGTCCTTGTTTGTTTCCTCTCTGTTGTTGTGCTGTTGCAATTTTAGAGTTTTTTAATACTGGTAGCCAGATTTTGTTCATTTTCATGGTTTCCTCCTTTCTGTTGAAATTGTCCACATGCTTCTTGTGGATTTCAATGGCTTCTCTGTGTAGTCTGACATGGTGGTTGGAATAAATATTTATTATAAGTTGTTGTATTCCATTTCTTTTGGTCCTTCTAGCCTAAGGCAACTAAGGCTTTAATTACATCTAACTTGTAGAACCAAAGAATCCTAGAATTGGAAGAGACCTCCTGGGCCATCCAGTCCAACCCCCTGCCAAGAAGCAGGAATATTGCATTCAAATCACCCCTGACAGATGGCCATCCAACCTCTGTTTAAAAGCTTCCAAAGAAGGAGCCTCCACCACACTCCGGGGCAGAGAGTTCCACTGCTGAATGGCTCTCACAGTCAGGAAGTTCTTCCTCATGTTCATAGAATCATAGAATCATAGAATCAAAGTTGGAAGAGACCTCTGGGCCATCCAGTCCAACCCCCTGCCAAGAAGCAGGAATATTGCATTCAAATCACCCCTGACAAATGGCCATCCAGCCTCTGCTTAAAAGCTTCCAAAGAAGGAGCCTCCACACTCCGGGGCAGAGAGTTCCACTGCTGAACGGCTCTCACAGTCAGGAAGTTCTTCCTCATGTTCAGATGGAATCTCCTCTCTTGTAGTTTGAAGCCATTTTGCGTCCTAGTCTCCCGGGAAGCAGAAAACAAGCTTGCTCCCTCCTCCTCCCTGTGGCTTCCTCTCACATATTTATACATGGCTATCATATCTCCTCTCAGCCTTCTCTTCTTCAGGCTAAACATGCCCAGCTCCTTAAGCCACTCCTCATAGGGCTTGTTCTCCAGACCCTTGATCTGCTCCCTCCTCCCTGTGGCTTCCTCTCACATATTTATACATGGCTATTATGTCTCCCCTCAGCCTTCTCTTCTTCAGGCTAAACATGCCCAGCTCTTTTGGCCGCTCCTCATAGGGCTTGTTCTCCAGATCCTGGATCCTTTGAGTCGCCCTCCTCTGGACACATTCCAGCTTAAAGTCAACAGCTCCCTTCAATTGTGGTGCCCAGAATTGGACACAGTGTGATTCCAGGTAAAGTGGTCTGACCAAGGCAGAATAGAATAGAGGGGGAGCAGGACTTCCCTGAATCTAGATACTGTTTTATTATTCCCTCCCATCCAGTAAATCTCCCATTGCCCTCAATTTTCTGGACGAAAAATTGTCTCTTATTCCAATCTATTCTTATCCCTAATCGCTCCTCCATTATTATTTTATTTTATGGAACTTTAGTGGGAGTGGGAGAAAGTACTCTTGTCTGTTGGCGGCAAGTGTGAATGTTGCAATTGGCCCCCTTGATTAGCATTTATTATTATTTATTATCATTATTTAGGGCTTTTATATCCCGTCCTTTCTCAACCTCCGCAGAAGGATTCATGATGGCTAACAAAGTGGCAGCCCCATGGGGCCCACATCAAAACATAAATATACAATATACAATTAACAGCAATGTAATTATAAAAACAATATAAAACAGTATAAAACCATATAAACAATATAAAAACAGACAACAAATAGTCAACAATAGTCACCGATTTAAATCATTTAATGGCCTAGCAGTTTCAAGGTCTGGCTTCTTACGTACCTCAAACAGACAAGTGTTCTTTCTCCCACCCTGGACATTATTCCACAGGTATATAAACCCCATTTTGGGTTGCTGTCAGTTTTTCAGGTTGTCTAGCCATGTTCCAGAAGCATTCTCTCCTGACATTTCGCCCACATCCATGGCAGGCATCCTCAGAGGTTGTGAGGTCTGTTGCAAACTAGGAAAATGGGGTTTGTATTGACAAAGGTTTCCGTGGCCAGAATCACTGGGTTGCTGTGAGTTTCCCAGGCTGTCTGGCCATGTCCCCGAAGCATTCTCTCCTGATATTTCACCTACATCTATGGCAGGCATCCTCAGAGGTTGTGAGGTCTGTTGGAAACTAGGTAAGTGAAATTTATGTGTCTGGAATGTCCAGGGTGGGAGAAAGAACACTTTTGTCTGTTTGTGGTAGGTAGGAAGCCAGACCTTGAAACTGCTAGGCCATTAAATGCTAATCAAGGTGGCCAGTTGCAACATTCACACTTGCCTCCATCAAACAACAGTTCTTTCTCCCACCCTTGACATTATTCCACAGGTATATAAACCCCATTTTGGATGGCTGTGAGTTTCCCAGGCTGTCTGGCCATGTTCCAGAAGCGTTTTCTCCTGACATTTCGCCCACATCCATGGCAGGCATCCTCAGAGGTTGTGAGGTCTGTTGCAAACTAGGAAAATGGGGTTTGTATTGACAAAGGCTTTTGTGGCCAGAATCACTGGGTTGCTGTGAGTTTCCCAGGCTGTCTGGCCACGTTCCAGAAGCATTCTCTCCTGACATTTCGCCCACATCTATGGCAGGCACCCTCAGAGGTTGTGAGGTCTGTTGGAAAATCAGCAAGTGGTGTTTTATATATCTGTGGAATAATGTCAAGGGTGGGAGAAAGAACTCTTGTCTGATGGAGGCAAGTGTGAATGTTGCAATTGGCCACCTTGATTAGCATTTATTATTATTATTATTATTATTTATTATTTAGGGCATTTATATCCCGTCCTTTCTCAACCTCCGCAGAGTGACTCAGGATGGCTAACAAAGTGGCAGCCCCATGGTGCCCACATCAAAACATAAATATACAATAAACAATTAACAGCAATGTAATAATAACAACAATATAAAACAGTATAAAACCATATAAACAATATAAAAACAATATAAAAACAGACAACAAATAGTCAGTGGTCACCGATTTAAATCATTTAATGGCCTAGCAGTTTCAAGGTCTGGCTTCTTACCTACCACAAACAGACATGTGTTCTTTCTTCCACCTTGGACATACCAGACACATAAATTTCACTTACCTAGTGAAATTTATGATTTTCCAACAGACCTCACAACCTCTGAGGATGCCTGCCATAGATGTGGGTGAAATGTCAGGAGAGAATGCTTCTGGAACATGGCTAGACAGCTTGGGAAACTCACAGCAACCCAGTGATTCTGGCCACGAAAGCCTTTGACAATACAAACACCATTTTCCTAGTTTCCAACAGACCTCACAACCTCTGAGGATGCCTGCCACGGATGTGGGAGAAATGTCAGGAGAGAATGCTTCTGGAAKATGGCCAGYCAGCCTGYGAAACTCACAATAACCCAGTGATTCRGGCCATGAAAGCCTTCAGTGACGCAATGGAAAATACTGACAACCTCTGAGGATGCCTGCCATAGATGTAGGTGAAATGTCAGGAGAGAATGCTTRGGGGACATGMCCAGACAGCCTGGYAAACTCACAGCAACCCAGTGATTCRGYCCARGAAAGCCTTTGACAARACAAYCCCCATATTCCTAGTTTSCAACAGACCTCACAARCTCTGAGGATGCCTGCCATAGATGTYGGRYAAATYTCAGGAGAGAATGCTTCTGGKACATGGCTAGACAACCTGAAAAAATGACAGCAACCCAAAATGGGGTTTATATACCTGTGGAATAATGTCAAGTGTGGGAGAAAYAACTGTTGTTTGATGGAGTCAGGAGGGAATGCTTCTGGAACATGGCCAGACAGCCTGAAAAACCCAAAATGGGGTTTATATACCTGTGGAATAATGTCCAGGGTGGGAGAAAGAACTCTTGTCTGCTGGAGGCAAGTGTGAATGTTGCAACTGGCCACCTTGATAAGCATTTAATGGCCTAGGAGTTTCAAGGTCTGGCTTCTTACCTAGCACAGACAGACAAAAGTATTTTTTCTCCCACCCTGGACATTCCAGACACATACATTTCACTTACCTAGTTTCCAACAGACCTCACAACCTCTGAGGGTGCCTGCCATAGAAGCAAGCAAAACATCAGGAGAGAATGCTTCTGGAACATGGCCAGACAGCCTGGAAAACTCACAGCAACTCAGTGATTCTGACCATGAAAGCCTTTGACAATAGAAAACCCATTTTCCTACTTTCCAAAAGACCTCACAACTTCTGAGGATGCCTGCCATAGATGTGGGCGAAATGTCAGGAGAGAATGCTTCTGGAACATGGGCAGACAGCCTGGGAAACTCACAGCAACCCAGTGATTCTGGCCACGGAAGCTTTTGACAATACAAACCCCATTTTCCTAGTTTCCAACAGACCTCACAACCTCTGAGGATGTTCGCCATGGATTTGGGAGAAATATCAGGAGAGAATGCTTCTAGAACATCTCTAATCACCTCTCAACAAAAGATTCCCCCAGGCTCAGCCAGGCCATCAAATGCTAATCAAGGTGGTCAGTTGAAACATTCCCACCTAGCTCCAGCAGACAAGAGTCCTTTTTCCCACCCTGGTCATTCCACAGATATATAAACCCTTTTTCCTACTTCCATCAGACCTCACTACCTCTTGCCATAGATGCAGGCGAAACGTCAGGAGAGAATGCCTCTAGAACATGGCCATACAGCCCGAAAAAACCTACAACAACCCAGACAAATGTTCTTTTTCCCACCCTGGACATTCCAGACACATAAACTTCACTTGCTTAGTTCCCAACAGACCTCACAACCTCTGAGGATGCCTGCCATAGATGTGGGCGAAATGTCAGGAGAGAATGCTTCTGGAACATGGGCAGACAGCCTGAAAAACTGACAGCAACCCAAAATGGGGTTTATATACCTGTGGAAATAATGTCCAGGGTGGGAGAAAGAACTCTTGTCTGTTGGAGGTAGGCGTGAATGTATTTCCCGTTGCATTTCCTTAATCCAGGCTGCTAGGAATGGTGGGAGTTGTAGTCCAAAGCCCCAGGAGGGAGGAAGGGAGGGCCCAAGCCTGGCATCTTGGGGTCCTCACCTCGGCAGGGGATTCCGAACTGGCTGAGGCGGCGGTGCCTGCGGTAGTCCTCCTCGCCGTCTTCTTCCCCGCTGCTGCTGCTCTCCATGGCAGGCCGGAACACGCCTACACCGGAAGTGCGGGCGCCGGAAGGAGGCGCTGGCGGACAGAACCGCCTCTTCCGGCCGAGCCGCAGCGCCCTCTGGCGGCCGGCCCCTTCGCATTGCAGTCTCGCTCCTTCCGGAAAGCGCCCGGAACCGGAAATCGGCCGGCCTTTCTTCCAAAGGAGGAGGAAGGTATGGTGCTGTGGCTCCCCTCAGAGGGATCCATCTCCATCTGTTACTCTACGTCATAGTAAATAATAATAATAATGAATATAATAATAATATTAACTTATAGTGATAATATAATAATAATATTAACTTATAATGATAACAATATATTATTATTATTATTATTAAAGTTAATGATAATAATAATAAATATAATAATAATAATAGCTTATGTTGTTGTTGTTCATTCGTTCAGTCGTCTCCGACTCTTCGTGACCTCATGGGCCAGCCCACGCCAGAGCTCCCTGTCGGCCGTCACCACCCCCAGCTCCTTCAAGGTCAGTCCAGTCACTTCAAGGATGCCATCCATCCATCTTGCCCTTGGTCGGCCCCTCTTCCTTTTTCCTTCCATTTTCCCCAGCATCATTTTCTTCTCTAGGCTTTGCTGTCTCTCATGATGTGGCCAAAGTACTTCAACTTTGTCTCTAGTATCCTTCCCTCCAATGAGCAGTCGGGCTTTATTTCCTGGAGGATGGACTGGTTGGATCTTCTCGCAGTCCAAGGCACTCTCAGAACTTTCCTCCAACACCACACCTCAAAAGCATCTATCTTCCTTCGCTCATCCTTCCCTAAGGTCCAGCTTTCACATCCGTAGGTGACTACAGGAATACCATGGCTTTGACTAGGCGGATCTTTGTTGCCAGTCTGATGTCTCTACTCTTCACTATTTTATCGAGACTGGACATTGCTCTCCTCCCAAGAAGTAAGCGTCTTCTGATTTCCTGCCTTCAGTCTGCATCTGCAGTAATCTTTGCCCCTAGAAATACAAAGTCTGTCACGGCCTCCACGGTTTCTCCTTCTATTTTCCAGTTGTCAATCATTCTTGTTGCCATAATCTTGGTTTTTTTGACGTTTAGCTGCAACCCGCTTTTGCGCTTTCTTCTTTCACCTTGATTAGAAGGCTCCTCAGCTCCTCCTCGCTTTCGGCCATCAGAGTGGTGTCATCTGCATATCTGAGGTTGTTAATGTTTCTTCCAGCAATTTTCACCCCAGCCTTGCATTCATCAAGCCCCGCACATCGCATGATGTGTTCTGGATACAAGTTAAAAAGGTTGGGTGAGAGGATGCAGCCTTGCCGTACGCCTTTCCCAATCTTGAACCAGTCTGTTGTTCCGTGGTCAGTTCTGACTGTTGCTACTTGGTCCTTGTACAGATTCCTCAGGAGAGAGACAAGGTGGCTTGGGATGCCCATCCCACTAAGAACTTGCCACAATTTGTTATGATCCACACAGTCAAAGGCTTTAGAATAGTCAATGAAGCAGAAGTAGATGTTTTTCTGAAACTCCCTGCCTTTCTCCATTATCCAGCGGATATTGGCAATCTGGTCTCTCGTTCCTCTGCCTTTTTTAAACCCAGCTTGAACATCTGGCAACTCTCGCTCCAATATTGAGGATAGTTATGACGGTGTGGTGAATGAATTAGAACCAGACATCCTGAGGAGTGAAGTTGAATGGGCCTTAAGAAGCATTGCTAACAACAAGGCAGCATGAGACGACGGGATCCCAGCTGAACTGTTTAAAATCTTAAAAGATGATGCTGTCAAGGTGATGCATGCCATTTGCCAGCAAATATGGAAAACACAAGAATGGCCATCAGACTGGAAAATCAACTTATATCCCCATACCAAAAAAGGGAAATGCGAAAGACTGCTCCAACTTCCGTACAGTGGCCCTTATTTCTCTACGTCATAGTAAATAATAATAATAATGAATATAATAATAATATTAACTTATAGTGATAATATAATAATAATATTAACTTATAATGATAACAATATATTATTATTATTATTAAAGTTAATGATAATAATAATAAATATAATAATAATAATAGCTTATAATGATAATATAATAATAATATTTATTTTATTTATTTAAAAGTTTTCTTCTCACCTACAAGAGGGACTCGGATCCGGTTCACAACATGTGTTCATATACAAAAATACAAACCACACAATTAAAAACATATTACAATACAACATCGTCATCATCACACTTACATAGCCACGTCGTCAAAGCATTCCTGGTCATAATTCACAGTTATTCATTCTCCTTCCATGTGGACCAAAGTTGACTCAGTTGTCAAAGGCCGCATTCCATAGCCAAGTCTTTGTTAGCTTCCTGAACGTCAGGAGGGAGGGAGCAGTTCTAATCTCCTGTAGGAGGGAGTTCCAAAGCCAGGGAGCCACCATCGAGAAGGCCCTGTCTCTCGTCCCCACCAACCGCGATTGTGACAGTGGTGGGATCGAGAGCAGGCCCCCCGGAAGATCTTAAAGACCTTGATGGTTCGTAGGGGAGAATCCGTTCAGACAGGTAAACAGGGCCAGAGTCATTTAGGCTTTGTAGGTCAAAACCAGCACTTTGAATTGTACTCAGAAGCTAATCGGCAGCCAGTGGAGCTGGCGTAACAGAGGGGTTGTATGCTCCCTGTACCCAGCACCCGTTAGAAATCTGGCTGCCGAGCGTTGGACTAGCTGCAGCTTCCGGGCAGTCTTCAGAGGCAGCCCCATATAGAGAGCGTTGCAGTAATCTAAATGGGATGTAACCAAAGCGTGGACCACCGTGGCCAAGTCAGACTTCCCAAGGTACGGGCGCAGCTGGCGCACAAGTTTTAATTGTGCAAAAGCTCCCCTGACCACCGCTGAGACCTGGGGTTCTAGGCTCAGCGATGAATCAAGGAGAACTCCCAGGCTGCGAACCTGCGCCTTTAGTGGGAGTGCGACCCCGTCCAGCACAGGCTGTAACCCTATCCCCTGTTCGGCCTTTCGACTGACCAGGAGTACCTCCGTCTTGTCTGGATTTAGTTTCAATCTGTTGTCCCTCATCCAGACCGTCACAGCGGCCAAGCACCGGTTCAGGACCTTGACAGCCTCCTTAGTGGCAGGTGGAAAGGAATGACAGAGTTGGACATCATCTGCGTACAAATGACACCGCACCCCGAAACTCCGGATGATCTCTCCCAACGGCTTCATGTATATTAACTTATAATGATAACAATATTTTATTATTATTAAAGTTAATAATAATAATAATACATATAATAATAACTTATAATGATAATATAATAATAATAACTTATAATGATAACAAATGTGAGTAGATCAATAGGTACCGCTCCGGCGGGAAGGTAACAGCGCTCCATGCAGTCATGCCGGCCACATGACCTTGAAGGTGTCTACGGACAACGCTGGCTCTTCGGCTTAGAAATGGAGATGAGCACCACAGAGTCAGACATGACTGGACTTAATGTCAGGGGACTACCTTTACATTTTAACCAGCTTGTAAAATAAACCATTGAATCATAGTTTTATTAACTTTATTTATACCCCACTAACATCTCCCGAAGGACTCGGTGCGGCTTACAAAAGGCCAAGGCCCTCAATAAAACAACAGCATAACAATACAACAATAGACCTCATAAAGCAAAACAATAAACATTAAAGCTATAACAGTAAAACATCAAAACAATACATTATGACACATATATAGCAATACAATATTATTAATAACAATGATAATAATTCATAACCATCTATTACACCACATAATAATCAGACAATAATAATATACTCAGTTCTTGTGGGTTTTTTCGGGCTATATGGCCATGTTCTAGAGGCATTTCTCCTGACGTTTCGCCTGCATCTATGGCAAGCATCCTCAGAGGTCTGCTGGAACTGGGAAAAAGGGGGTTTATATATCTGTGGAATGACCAGGGTGAGACAAAGGGTTTTTGTAAGTTGGGCTAGGTGTGGATCTTTCAACTGACCACCTTGGTTAGCATACAATGGGCTGACTGTGCCTGGAGCAAACTCTTCTTGAAAGGTGATTAGATGTCCCTGCCTGTTTTTCTCTCTGCTGTTTTAATTTTAGAATTCTTTAATACTGGTAGCCAGATTTTGTTCATTTTCATGGTTTCTTCCTTTCTGTTGAAATTGTCCACATGTTTGTGTATTCCAATGGCTTCTCTGTGTAGTCTTGACATGGTGGTTGTGAGAGTGGTCCAGCATTTTTGTGTTCTCAAATAAAATGCTGTGTCCAGGTTGGTTCATCAGGTGCTCTGCTATGGCTGACTTCTCTGGTTGGAGTAGTCTGCAGTGCCTTTCATGTTCCTGGATTCTTGTTTGGGCGCTGCGTTTGGTGGTCCTTATGTAGACTTGTCCACAGCTGCATGGTATACGGTAGACTCCTGCAGAGGTGAGAGGATCCCTCTTGTCCTTTGCTGAACGTAGCATTTGTTGGATTTTCTTGGTGGGTTTGTAGATTGTTTGTATGTTGTGTTTCCTCATCAGCTTCCCTATGCGATCAGTGGTTCCCTTGATGTATGGCAGGAACACTTTTCCTCTGGGTGGATCTTCATCTTTACTCTCGTGGCTTGTTCTGGTCTTGCAGCTCTTCTGATGTCTGAGGTGGAGTATCCATTGGCCTGTAGAGCCCAGTTGAGGTGGTTCAGTTCATCTTGGAGGAGGTGGGGTTCGCAGATTCTTTTTGCATGGTCTGCCAAGGCTTTAATGGTGCTTCTTTTTTGACTTGGGTGATGGTTGGAGTTTTTATGTAGATATCTATCTGTGTGTGTGGGTTTTCTGTAAACGGTGTGACCCAATTGTTGATCTGGTTTGCGGATGACTAGGACATCTAGAAAAGGCAGTCTTCCTTCCTTTTCTTTTTCCATGGTGAACTGGATGTTTGGGTGGATGCTGTTAAGATGGTCCAGGAACCTGTTGAGTTCTTCTTCTCCATGGCTCCAAATGGTGAAAGTGTCATCCACATATCTGAACCATATAGTGGGCTTTTTGGTTGCTGTTTCAAGAGCTTGTT